CCCGACACGCTGTTCCCCTCCTGTGTCACGGCACCCCTATCATGCTGCCCCCCACCTGTCCTTTGGTTCCCCTGTCACACTGCCCCCCACCTGTCCTATTTCCCCCCTCCTATCCAGCTGCCCCCCCTCCTGTCCCATTGCCACCCTCCTATCCCACTGCCCCCTACCTGTCCCGTAGCCCCCCTTACATGCTGCTGCCCTCCTGTTTCACGGCACCCCTATCACACTGCTCCCAACCTGTCCCATGGCCCCCCTGTCATGCTGCCCCCCACCTGTTTCACTGCCCCTCTCCTGTCCCATTGCCCCCTTCCTATCCAGCTGTCCCCCTCCTATCCCGCTGTCCACTACCTATCCCACAGGCCCCCCGACACGCTGCCCCCCACCTGTCCCGTGGCCCCCCTGTCATGCTGCCCCTCTGCTGTCACGCTGCCTCCTTCCTGTCCTGTCCTGAACCAGTGGATCTTAAACAAGAAGGGGTGGGACAAATTTAGATGGGGGGGGGGCATGATTTTAGTCTTGCCTAGGGCAGCACAAAACCAAAATCCACCACGGGGTCCAATACCAGCTTTCGAAAGATCCACTCTCATTTTCAACTCAAAGTACTACCGATCCCCAATGGTTTCACTAAATGCCAAAAACAAATTCTCCCATTAAGATGACAATCTGAGAAAGTCAGCGACATTTCTGATGCATGAAAATGGAGCTAAACGCAAAAAACACATTTTTACAATTAAGATAACGATCATCACAAGTTAGGGAACAGTAAAGGAAAAAAAAAATCCCAGCAATATAAAAGTAAGTTTGATAAGGAGCAAAAAGTGGGCTACGGAACGGGAACGTGGTCCAGAACAATCATAAAACTGTTTGAAGGTTGATTTTGAAAACTAGGACATTTTATTTCCTGTCCAATGGAACTTTAATTTTTCATTCAGAGGTTTCCCTTTCTTGGAATACCCTTGCATACCCTTCAACCACAAATATTTGATGTCCTCCGTGTGGTGGCCTAGTTGTGAGAAATGATGTGCCACAGGTGGGAAGCAATCGTCTACCTTGTGTTCTATTACTGCGTGTTTAGGCAGATTTAGAGACTGTCTTGGGTCAAAGGATGTTTGGTCCAGGTGTGCTGTGAATATTTTATGAGTTCTATCATTGAAGAACATGTTGGAGGGACATTAAAGCGTATATAAAGCCAAAACTTTTTAGCTTTTGGTATAGAGTTCAAAAATGGTTAAGACCATATTAGAATTTGTATTTTTTAGTCTGGGATTCCATTGGGTCCCATTTGTGAATCTTCCCAAAGTGTACGGATATCTCCTCTTAGAGCAGGGGTGTCAAACTCAATTTCCTCATGAGCCGCATCAATGTTATGGTTGCCCTCGAAGGGCTGGTTGTATCTGTAAGAATAGCTGTCCCGAACACTCCACCTCCTTTACATCTGGGATTCCATTGGGTCTCATTTGGGAATCTTCCCAAAATTAAAGGATATCTCCTCTTAGAGCAGGGGTGTCAAACTCAATTTCCTCATGAGCCGCATCAATGTTATGGTTGCCCTCGAAGGGCTGGTTGTATCTGTAAGAATAGCTGTCCCGAACACTACACCTCCTTTACATCTGGGATTCCATTGGGTCTCATTTGGGAATCTTTCCAAAATTAAAGGATATCTCCTCTTAGAGCAGGGGTGTCAAACTCAATTTCCTCATGAGCCGCATCAATGTTATGGTTGCCCTCGAAGGGCCGGTTGTATCTGTAAGAATACCTGTCCCGAACAGTCCACCTTAGTTACATCTGGGATTCCATTGGGTCCCATTTGAGAATCTTCCCAAAGTGAAAGGATATCTCCTCTTAGAGCAGGGGTGTCAAACTCCATTTCCTCATGAGACGCATCAATGTTATGGTTGCCCTCGAAGGGCCGGTTGTATCTGTAAGAATATCTGTCCCGAACACTCCACCTTCCTCACATCTGGGATTCCATTGGGTCTCATTTGGGAATCTTCCCAAAATGAAAGGATATCTCCTCTTAGAGTTGGGGTGTCAAACTCCATTTCCTCATGAGCCACATCAATGTTATGGTTGCCCTCGAAGGGCCAGTTGTATCTGTAAGAATAGCTGTCCCGAACACTCCACCTTCCTTACATCTGGGATTCCATTGGGTCCCATTTGGGAATCTTCCCAAAGTGAAAAGATATCTCCTCTTAGAGCAGGGGTGTCACACTCCATTTCCTCATAAGCCACATCAATGGTATGGTTGCCCTCGAAGGGCCGTTGTATTTGTATGAATAGCTGCCCCGAACACTCCACCTCCCTTACATCAGATGTCAAGAGCCACCTACACCATCAACAGTCAAGGGTCCCCCGCCCTCCCTTACATCACACTGATCCCTCTTATTTTGTGTGCTGCTGCTGGGAAGAAGCTGGGGGTGGAACTGGGAAACAGAAAGTGCAGGGTCTGGAGGAAGACCATAGGAGGGCTGGAGTGAGCTGCTGAGACCAGGGGAGGCTGAGTTGAGGGAGTGCTGCGGCTGCACAGAGAGGTGCAGAATCTGTAGAAGGAGAGTTCTGTTCCCTTTCTGCTGCCTGACTGCTGAGATGGAGGTTGGGGGGGCAGAGACAAGTCTCTTCAGGGCTGCAAGAAGAAGCACAGGATCTGGTGGAGGAGTTCTGTCCTCCTCTCTGCTGCAGACTGCTGAGACAAGGTGGGGACGCAGATACCGCATCTGCACAGAGAGGCGCAGGATGTGTAGGAGGACCTTCTCTCTGCTGCTGACTTCTGAGAGGGGGTGGTGGGGGGGGGCACAAACAAAATTCTCTGCAGCTTCATGGAGAAGTGCAGGATCTGTAGGAGGAGTTCTGTTCCCTCTCTGCTGCCTGACTGTTAAGATGGAGGTTGGGTTGTCCTCAACACAGAGGACCAACGCGTCTCGCCTTATTCATGGCATGTCCAATGGCCAAAACGCGTTGGCCCTCTGTGTAGATTTTATTCGCTGTTCTAAATATTAAAGGCTTGTAGATTTTACTGAAGTGCTAGCATTTCTTCAATGTTTATACACTACCACATGTATGCTGCCATGTTGGCACCAGGAAAGTAGTTTTGAGGACGAATATAGAGGATGCGTACGGGAGACACCAACACCTGACAAAGCATATAAAACCTCCCATGCTCATCTCGAGGACTTCGCCAGAGCCTCTCCCATCCTCTGGAACTCTCTACCTCAATCTATCCAGCTATCCCCTACTCTGGCAGCCTTTTGGCGATCCCTGAATGCTCATCTCTTAAGGAAAGCCTCTCACACCTCCAATTAAACATTTATCACTCCCATAAACTCATCCCACACAGTTATAACCTTTTGTACCACTTGCCCCAACCTATTAGATTGCAAGCTCCTAAGAGCCTTCTTAGTCCTCTTGGTTTATTTTTTTATTGTATTGTAACTGTACTCCTTTATATTGTAAAACGCTACGCAAACTGTCGGCGCTACCCACATGGAAGAAAAATATATTTCAAATATATTTTAAAAATATTTTCCCCAAATATAGTGACATATACTTGAAATACTACAATTTTGGCCATATTTAATATATTTAAAATATAGAAAAAATAGATATATATATATATACACACTAAACACACATTATATATATATATACACATTTACATATATATATATATATATATATATACATATACAGTACATACACACACATATATATATATATATATATATATATATATATACACACATACATACATACATACACACTGCATGTGAACATGTGTTTTTTTTATATATTACAAACGTATTTTAAACGTATTCTTCAGATTTTTTTTAACATGCAAAAGAGTCACTTTAACAAATATTTTTACATATATTTGTTAATACATTCCAAAAAAGATTACATTTATATTTTTAAAGACATACAGAATATTTGAAAGTGTATGTTTAAAAATATTTTTCATATATTTTGTAATAAAAATGCATTTCAAACAATATATATATATATATATATATTTATTTATTTAAATATATTTTGAAATATGTTGAATACGGCCAAAATTGTAGAATTTAAAAAATATATGTCGATATATCTGGGAAGAATATTTTTAAAATATATTTTCCTCCCATGTGGGTATATAAATCCTTCATAATATAATAATAAAACAAAAACTGCATTTGCCACTTTCCCAAAAACTGCCAACCAGCTGTTGGTGGGCTGCGTTTCCCCAAACGTTTATAATAATCCTCAAAGGATAAAATAATAAAAATAAACAAAATATATGGAACTGAAACACACACTTAAGTTGTCTACTAAATTTTATTAATAAAATTCTGTAAAATTTAATACAATTTAGTTGACAAATTAGTCCCCTGTATTCTTCTTTTTTGGGGGGTATGGGGGGACAAAAACCCAACCCTTCCCTTTTCTGTCAAAAATGTTACAAAAATGTTTTTTTTTTTTAACCCGTAAAGAAGTCTAGATACTTAAAAACACAAGTAAGTAAATAATTAAGCCAAGTCTGTGCGGAGGATGCGCACATTGTTACTGGTTGAGCGCAAATTAGTCCGCGGGGAATATATGGATTTCTCGCAATTTATTTTAAGCTCTGAGTTTTGTCTAAAATTAGATATTAGCATCAGAGGATTCATTAGGGAAGATCCTGGATGTGAAACCGTGTATCAGACTCTGAGTTCTTGTGTATTTAATGGGCAGTCAGGGGTTCAATAGCCAGGGTGTAGATCAGTGGTTGTCCACTTATGAGCTAAGGGGGGGGGGGGGCCTCAAATGCGGCCCCTGATATCACCAAAGGGCCACACATAATGGTCAATGTAATGCTTGAGAGGACGGTCAGAGACTGCAGATCTAGCAGAGGAGACGAGGGTCAGAGAGTGAAGACAGGATACATTGTTGGCTGGGGAGATGCTGCAGAAGACGATAGAAAACTGGGAAGATGTTACATGAGGCTAATAGATATCAATAGTCAGTGGGAAGAATGTCCCTTACATTGGTGGTCAGTGGGAAGAATGTCCCTTACATTGGTGGTCAGTGGGAAGAATGTCCCTTACATTGGCGGGTCAGTGGGAAGAATGTTCCTTACATTGGTGATCAGTGGGAAGAATGTCCCTTACATTGGAGGTCAGTGGGAAGAATGTCCCTTACATTGGTGGTCAGTGGGAAGAATGTCCCTTACATTGGTGGATCAGTGGGAAGAATGCCCCTTACATTGGTGGTCAGCGGGAAGAATGCCCTTACATTGGTGGTCAGTGGGAAGAATGTCCCTTACATTGGTGATCAGTGGGAAGAATGTTCCTTATATTGGTGGTAAGTAGGAAGAATGTTCCTTACATTGGTGATCAGTGGGAAGAATGCCCCTTACATTGGTGGTCAGCGGGAAGAATGCCCTTACATTGGTGGTCAGTGGGAAGAATGTCCCTTACATTGGTGATCAGTGGGAAGAATGTTCCTTATATTGGTGATCAGTGGGAAGAATGTCCCTTACATTGGTGATCAGTGGGAAGAATGTTCCTTATATTGGTGATCAGTGGGAAGAATGTCCCTTACATTGGTGGTCAGTGGGAAGAATGTCTCTCACATTGGTGATCAGTGGGGAAGAATGTCCCTTACATTGGTGATCAGTGGGAAGAATGTCCTTACATTGGTGATCAGTGGGAAGAATGTCCCTTACATTGGTGATCAGTGGGAAGAATGTCCCTCACATTGGTGATCAGTGGGAAGAATGTCCCTTACATTGGTGATCAGTGGGAAGAATGTCCCTTACATTGGTGGTCAGTGGGAAGAATGTTCCTTACATTGGGGATCAGTGGGAAGAATGTCCCTTACATTGGTGATCAGTGGGAAGAATGTCACTTACATTGGTGATCAGTGGTGAAGAATGTCCCTTACATTGGTGATCGGTGGGAAGAATGTCCCTTATGTTGGTGGTCAGTGGGAAGAATGTCCCTTACATTGGAGGTCAGTGGGAAGAGAATATCCCTCACATTGGTGATCAGTGGGAAGAATGTCACTTACATTGGTGATCAGTGGGAAGAATGTCCCTTACATTGGTGATCGGTGGGAAGAATGTCCCTTATGTTGGTGGTCAGTGGGAAGAATGTCCCTTACATTGGAGGTCAGTGGGAAGAATATCCTCACATTGGTGATCAGTGGGAAGAATGTCCCTTACATTGGTGATCAGTGGGAAGAATGTCACTTACATTGGTGATCAGTGGGAAGAATGTCCCTTACATTGGTGATCGGTGGGAAGAATGTCCCTTATGTTGGTGGTCAGTGGGAAGAATGTCCCTTACATTGGAGGTCAGTGGAAGAATATCCCTCACATTGGTGATCAGTGGGAAGAATGTCACTTACATTGGTGATCAGTGGGAAGAATGTCCCTTACATTGGTGATCGGTGGGAAGAATGTCCCTTATGTTGGGTGGTCAGTGGGAAGAATGTCCCTTACATTGGAGGTCAGTGGGAAGAATATCCCTCACATTGGTGATCAGTGGGAAGAATGTCACTTACATTGGTGATCAGTGGGAAGAATGTCCCTTACATTGGTGATCGGTGGGAAGAATGTCCCTTATGTTGGTGGTCAGTGGGAAGAATGTCCCTTACATTGGAGGTCAGTGGGAAGAATATCCCTCACATTGGTGATCAGTGGGAAGAATGTCCCTCACATTGGTGATCAGTGGGGAAGAATGTCCCTCACATTGGTGATCAGTGGGAAGAATGTCCCTCACATTGGTGATCAGTGGGAAGAATGTCCCTCACATTGGTGATCAGTGGGAAGAATGTCCCTCACATTGGTGATCAGTGGGAAGAATGTCGCTTACATTGGTGATCAGTGGAAGAATGTCCCTTACATTGGTGATCAGTGGGAAGAATGTCCCTTACATTGGTGATCAGTGGGAAGAATGTCCCTTACATTGGTGATCAGTTGGAAGAATGTCCCAGTACTCAGTACTCCAGGCCCTTTAAGGCAGGGACGTCTTTTGGCTGGAAAAAAACCCCCAGGACTAGTGGTTTTCTAGAGGAGTTTTTTTAGCTGTAAAAAATGCTGAAAAACGCAGCAAGCCGGCATTTTTGGATTTTTTTTTACCAAAAAGAAAGTTTTGGTTTTTTTTTTTTTTGCAATAAAAAAAAAAAATAAGCTAAAATGAGGTATGTAGACAGCCTTAAATAAGAAAGCTTTCAATGGACAGGGATAACTATCGGGTAGGGAGGGAGGGTTTGGAAAGAGGGCGGTTGAATTGTTTTGGATTTGGTTAATGATATTCCCAAATGGAAGAGAAATATATTTTCAATATATTTAGGAAAAAAAAAAATTATAAATGCGACATATTGGCCTACGCAAATATATTTTAACATGCACTCTAAAAATGTAAATTAAAATATATTTCCCAAAGGCATATATTTAAAAATATATTTTTCAAAATATATTTTCCAGATATTCTTCAACATCTAAAAAAATGCATTTAAAACACAGATTATTTTTAAATATACTTGTAAATGCACTCCAAATTACACTTTGATATATATTGCAGCGTGTGTTCTGATTATATTTTTAATAATATATTGACAAATATATTGAAATATATTTCTGAAATATACTGAATATGGCCAAAATTGTAGTATTTGAAATATGTCAAAATATTTGGGAAGAATATATTAAGAATGTGTTTTTTAAAATATATTTAAATATACTTGTAAATGCATTCCAAATTACACTTTGATATATATTGCAGCACAGTGATTTTCTGAATATATTTTTATAATAATATATTGACAAAATATATTAACATATTTTTGGAATATATTGAATATGGACAAAATTGTAGCATTTGAAATATATGTCAATATATTTGGGAAGAATATATTAAGAATACATGATATATATTGCAGCACGTGTTTTGAATATATTTTTAATAATATATACACAATTATATTGAAATATATTTTTTGAAATATATTGAATATGGCCAAAATTGTAGCATTTGAAATACCGTATGTGTCAATATAATTGGGAAGAATATTTTAAGAATGTGTTTTTTTAAAATATATTTAAATATACTTGTAAATCCATTCCAAATTACATTTTGATATATATTGCAGCATGTCTTCTAAATATATTTTTAATAATATATACACAAATATATTGAAAGATATTTTTGAAATGTAGTGAATATGGCCAAAATTGTAGCATTTGAAATATATGTCAATATATTTGGGAAGAATATATATTAAGAAATACATGATATATATTGCAGCATGTGTTCTGAATATATTTTTAATAATATATTCACTATGGCCAAATATATTAAATATATTTTTGAAATTTATTGAATACGGCCAAAAATTGTAGCATTTGAAATATGTGTCAATATATTTGGGAATAATATATTTTAAGAATGAAATTTATTTTTTTAAATATATAACAATTTTTCTTCCATGTGGGTTGTGATGTATTATATATTGAAATAAAACCTAATACAAGATATAAATAATTAAAAAAAAAACCCTGCTAAAAAACCACGAATGTGGAAAAACTGCGCTGATTGCGCCAAAACGCGGCTAAACGCTATAAAGAGCTGAAAGTTTCCAGCTTGAGGAAAGAGACTTTTGTAGCCTCCATGTTGAGCTTTCCAAAGGGCGTATTTCGTCTTTCAGATGCCGATCGGTGCTACCCAAGATGCTATTAAAAAAAAAAAAAGAGGTTGGTTGAAGTCATCCTGGAAAAGGTTCGTTGTGTAAACGTTCAAAACGCTTTAAATATAACAAGTCTAAAGTGCTAATCTACTCCAAATGTAACAAGAAAATTCGATTTAAAATTAGTAACAAGATCTGGATAGAGATGCACCCACCAGGCCATATGGAGAAATCCCCGTCTGTCTGCACCAGGCAGTTCTTCTGACTAATGTGACTTTGCTTTTCCTCGGAGGAGAGTGGCTGACTCCCACATTACTCATTAGAATTGATTCACTAAAGCAGGAGAGCTTGTTTACTTTGCAAAGCGAATTGCTTTCACAAAGTGAACGAGCGCTGAACTTAATAAATACGGCGAAGTGGCCCACACGGAAGAAAAATATAATTGAAATATATTTTAAAAATAGTCTTCCCAAATATATTGTCATATATTTGAAATGCTACAATTTTGGCCGTATTCAATATATTTCTAAATATATTTCAATAAATATATTTATATACACTGTATGTTGAAATGCATTTTTATCACAAAATATATGAAAAATATTTTTAAAAATACATTTTCAAATATACTGTATTTCTTTAAAAAGACATTTAATGTACATTTTTGGAATGCTTTTACAAATATATATATATATTGAAATGCATTTTTTATTACAAAATATATATGAAATATATTTTATAAAAATACATTTCAAATATACTGTATGTCCTTAAAAATATAAATGTACATTTTTGGAATGCGTTTAAAAAATATATTTTTAAAAATGACTTTTTTATATGTTAAAAAAATTCTGAATAATATATTTAAAAAACAGATTTTTCAAAATAGATTTTTTTAAAATATATTCTTCAGAATTTTTTTAACATATGAAAAAGTCATTTTAACATATATTTTTTACATATATTTGTAAACACATTCCAAAAATGTACATTTGTATTTTTAAAGACATACAGTATATTTGCAATGTATTTTTATAAAATATTTTTCATGTACTTTGTAATAAAAACGCATTTTCAACATATATATATATATATTCGCAAAAGCATTCCAAAAATGTACATTAAATGTCTTTTTAAAGACATACAGTATATTTGAAAATTTATTTTTTTTAAATATTTTAAATATATTTTGATGCATTTCAACATACAGTGTGTGTGTGTATGTGTATGTATGTATATATTTAATACGGCCGATATTGTAGTATTTCAAATATATGTCTTTCAATATATTTGGGAAGAATATTTTAAAAATATATTTCAAATATATTTTTCTTCCATGTGGGTGTGCACCATATGTTTCCCTCTGCTGCTCAGGCCTACCTGTGTGCCCCCCACCCCCACAGTGCTGCCGGCCTCCCTCCTCTGCTTCCCACAGGCAGCTGCAAACACACAATTGGATCCTTCAGGATGGAAAGTGGGGGAAGGGTCCAGTAAATATCTCACATTTACCAACCCCTTTCTTTCCTGAATGAACACGAGTGATCATTACCGATCACTCATTGTGTTCATTCATACTTGCACTGTAAAATGTTTTTTTTTTTTTTTTTGGAGGGGGCCCTTGTCAGGTTGGCTGTATGGGGCCCTGTGGTTTCTAACAGCACCCACATGGAAGAAAAATATATTTTAAATATATTTTAAAAATACATTCTTAATATATTCATCTCAAATATATTGACATATTTCAAATACTACAAATTTGGCCATATTCAATATATTTCAAAAATATATTTCAATATGTTTGTGAAGATATTATTAAAAATATATTCAGAACCAGGGGTGGACTGACAACTCATGGGGCCCCCGGGCAATAGGGGATCATGGGGCCCCTGTTTCTTTGCCCAAACTCAAAAAAGCCTATGAAAAAGGTACCAGGGGCATCTCATGGGGCCCCCTACTGACCCTGGGCCCTCAGGCAATGCCCCGAGTTTCCAAATGGTCAGTCTAACCCTGTTCAGAACACATGCTGCAATTGTGTAATTTGGAATGCATTTACAAGTATATTTAAAATCTGTTTTAAAAGTATTTTTTTTAGATGTTCAAAAATATCTGGAAAATATATTTAAAAAAAAATATAATTTTAAATATATGCCTTTGGAAAATATATTTTAATTTATATTTTTGGAATACTTGTTAAAATATATTCAGGTAGGCCAGTGGTCGGCAA